AAATATTACAGAATGAACTGGAGGAAGTGACCGAGAAACTTTCAGAACAAATTGCGCGCCCATATCTAAGAACTCCTCGTTCACTCATCATTCAAACTACTGCTTTAGTGCGTCGCAAGAGACATGAATTTGTCAGAGCTGTTAATAAAGGACTTGTACCACCAGAAACACCTCCCATACTACGTAAAAATCGCAAGCGCCGGTTCCCTGGCATCATTCCTGATATTTTGAATGATGTGAGTGCCTTATGTGAACTCCCTCACAACCATTTTATATTTAAGATATTCCTCTATATTAAAAAACTAATGTGTTTCATAAATTTGTTACAATCTCTCCTCCAGAAGGACCTTTCGCAAGCTATTGCAGCATCTCTTAGAGAAATGGATCCAAACGATTCTTTGACCCAGGAAATTCTAAACAACCATGTTGTACATCCTCCTGATTATGATTCTGACGATGAGGAGGTATTTTAAAATTTTATATCCTTAAGTAGACAATTTTTGTTTTAAATACATAATTTAATATTTTTTCTTCTCAGATGTCAAATCCAGCAGCTGCACCTATGGCTTTGTGTGCAAGATTTGGTTGTGTACGTCCCTGTGCTCGAAACACTCGAACACAGAGTTTCCATATGTACTGCAGTTTAAGATGTTCTCGAGCGGCGAAGGGCACTACATCCAGTGGAGGAGATGCTTACAATATAGATTTAGTGATTGCTTTGGAAATGTCAAGGCTTCAGATGATTGAAGATGAGTTGAAACGGCATCAAATGCAGGTTACCTCACACGTGTCAAATTTCCCTGAGTGAGTACTATAATAGATGGTGTGTGCTCAAGACAACTGAGCTCACTGATATTATCATGATTTTGTATCTATTTTCTTATCTGTGCCGCTTTAGGAACTGTGAAGCTCAAGCAATTGCAAGTCGACCACCAGCGCCGCTCCCTGCAGAGGCTGAGAACACAGCCAGCAAAGAAAGCACTGGTGCACATCCTAAGCAGGGTGAGCACAGCATGTCAACTCTGTAAGTTTTCTGTTCAGTTTTTGATTTTGGCTCTACGAGCAAGGAACCATCATCGAAAGAGAAAGCGGTATTAAATGGCATATATGTACATCTCGAAAACATTTTCTTCATCATTCTAAATTTTTTTCATGCCTGTAAAATTCAGAGGCCATAGCTGCTAAGATTTTTTTTAGTATTTCTCTAAAAAATAATAGACTGTCTTGGTCAATTTCTTTATTCATATGCATGGGTTTATGAGAATGTGATTCTAGTGTTCCCTAAATCTGCTTGAGCTTGATAAACCATGTAGTGAAATTTCTATTTTGCCCTAGATTTTTGAATATTTGTTTTTCTTTTAAGAAAGATACAATCTCTATCCTGAAAAACAAAACTTTAAATCATTTTGTCCCATAGAATGTTATAACATTTGAGCATTTTGTTTTTGATTGTCAATTTTAATATAGAAATGTGCCATAGTTCTTGCTTGCTTTTTCATGTGCTTTCTTTATTATATTTTATAGTCTCTCAATTTGATTTTGTCTCAATAGCATAAAAGTGGATGTTTTTTGGGTTTTTTTTCCTATTATCTATTTGGATGTGTGTACTGATCAGGTGTTCTTGTTTCATTTTATTTTTCAGAGAGTTTAGATGAGCAAACAAAGTTAGCAATGCATCTGTCTCTTCAAGATCCCAACAGACTAAATGAAAAATTAGATCTAATAGAAACAAAAAAAGATTTTAACTGTGAGGGAAAAACAGATGCCTACAATAAGGATACAAGGGATATGACCAAAGATGCACTTCAAGAACATTCTGCAAATTCACTCTCAGCCAATGGTTTAGAGTACCAAAACGAAGAAACTAGTCAAGGGTATGTCTTTTATCAAGTCTTTTATGAAAAACATAAAGAAATTTTTAAACTGGTTACACTTATCTCTTTGGAACAGGAGCAATATCAATTCATCGTGGAGAAAGCCGTTAACTGACACTTCATCCCTTATGGGTGATTTTAAACATGAACCAGGTGAAGATGGCCGTTTTGAAATTGGGGACATACATGAGAATGGCCTTTTCAATGATTCAGCAATCCGAAGCAGCAATGATGATGATGAATTTCGTAATTACAACCACTTCGAGGAGGACGATACCTCAGATGGAAGATCCTTGAAACGGTCACATTCTACAGGAGATCTTGTGCCACGTCGCAGCTGGCGACTTAAAAGAGGAGAACCACGGTATCACTTAGACTCAGATCATTCTAGTCAACATGATGAAAAACCAGAAGAAATGGCCAGACGTATTCTAAAGGCTGAGCGCCACACATTATTGTTAGTTGGACTTCACGGTAGTGGTGGCAGTACTGCTGGTAGCACAGCAGAGAGCACCGCAGGGAGCACAGCAGATGACACTGGTGTGGACTATGGAATGCAGTCATCTCTAGATGAAGCAAGCACAGTTTGTGATACAATAAATGCCGATCTTGAGGTATGCCATAACAGCTTGCTCCGATTATGCTTTTACTAAACTGTTGTGTTTGTGTTACATCTAATAGTATTTTTATTTTCCTCAGGTATGTGGTATTTTGAACAGCTGCAAACAAGTGCGTAAACCAGGTGAAGTAAGATCAATGAGGAGCTTTGCAAATCTTGCTTCAATTGGTAAAAAACCTGCGCTTGACTTGGATCTAGAATTTATTGATGAGTGTAGTATGGTTGCCACTCAACCTTCTCTTCAAGCTCCTGGGCTACCTGAAGAAAACAAACCTCTTGACGTCAGAGGAAAAGAAATTAAATGGATGAGAGAACCTCCAACGTCCTCTGAGGCTCACTCAAGTTGTGCAAATTTTGCTGGGCCCTCTAACAGTACTGTGACAAGTTGTAATAAGCATTTCAAAACCCCTGGAAGTAAGACTCCTGGTGGAGCTACAGGTCTCCGCATCCGAATATGTGAATCACCTCAGCTTGCTCCTTCTCCACTGCCTGGTAAAACATTACAAGAGACTGATAGTTCTAATGAGTATGAATCAGAGACTGGAATACCAAAATCGCCAACACTTTTTATCAGTGGAGTATCGATAAGTAGAACTCCTGAGCCTCGATCCCCTGCTTTATCAGTGTCTACTGCTGGGAGACAGTCAAGATCCTCTAGTCTAACAGTCCCTGCAGCCCCTTCTTCCCCATCTTCTATAGAGGCTGAACTTTCTCCCAATCTTTCTCCAACCCCTTGCATCTCTCCTTGCTTAACTACTGCCCCTGGGTCACCCAGGGTTCACTCTGGAACCCATTCAAACACTCCTTCCCCCATTCTTAGTCCCCGACCAAACAACAATCAGCAGCAGCCCTCTGCCAAAAGTAAATCAGCTAGTGAACCTGAACGGGAAAGAGAAATGTTTCGATTTCCTAAATCTTCGACTGATGGTGCTCTGAGTTCAGTTCTTCATGTTCAGGAGAGCAACCTAAGCTCAGACGACTTTCATGAGGCCTTATTTCTTTTAGAACGTAGCAAAGCCGTTGGTCCTAATGTTGTGGCAAAAAAACGTAAAAAGTCTAAAAAGGAGAGGGACAAAGATAAAGAGAACAGTAGTGCTGGTGGAAGCAGTAAGCCGCTTGACCTTATAGAGGCCAGTTCTGTGCTATAATATGGTGGTCTCTGCCTCACTGTAATTTTTAGTTCTGTCAAACAGCTATATAATTCACTTTATATTTCTGTGTTTTACATCTGTTCATGATTTTCTGAAAGTCATGTATTAGACTGAAGTTAAAAAGCAAAGATTTAGTGGTAAGACCTAAAAATTTAAAAGTGCTTTATGTATAGATTATAGCCGCAACACTTCCTAACACTTGGCACTCTTTCGTTCTTGACTGGTCTTTGTAGTGAACTTTTCTTGTCTTGCATTATATTGATTCTAGTATTATTTTTCTCTGTTATAACATTTATTCTTTGTATGGACTTTGAAATTTGACTGATATATACCATTTCACCTATTATCTATCCTAGAATCAGGATGTTCTCTCTCTTTATATATACATAATTTCCTGAAAATAAATTCTATCAATAGCATATGACAGTTTTAAGGAGAAGTATGTATATATTGGTAGTGAGATGTGAAACTTTCTTCACGCAATATGTTTTAAGTAGTTTCTCTCATAACTTGATATGTATTTTAAATGTCTGTGCGTACATCATATGTCTTGTGAGATTTAACTTGATATCCTTCTGTAGAAAAATTTATGTTTTTGACTATTAACCAGGTTCAAGAGGTACAATATCTCCCACTTGGGTTGTGGACCTCTGTAGAGTTACAATGTATTGCATGGTATTCTGTAACCCTATCTCAGCATATGTAGGAAATACTTATTTGCAAATGTTGCTTACCTTCACATGAAAAAATATGTGTCTTTTTCTCTTCTTACAGTCTTGAATAGAATTCATATTAGTCAAACAGCTGGTGACATTAAAACAGATGCTTATTTATAAGTCTTTAGCTTTGCTCTAGTCAATATGCTATTGGATACCACTTAAATATTGCTTACATAACTTTCACAAGCTTTATTTGTTGTGGAATATTCATTATAGTCATTGTCAGTAGTGTTATTGTTCTAGAATGTTTTGTGTAAACTTTAATTTTGTAGAAGATACTTTTGTGTGTAATATGTTAAAAGTTTAATCTGTATTTTTATGAGACTTTGATGTTTTCCAAATTTTGTATTAAGAGCTTAGTATGAGGTACCCACTCTTGGAGAGTAAAGTACCCTTTCATTTTTTTCCAATCAAAAATTTATTTCAAGTTTAAAACTTTTGTTTGAGGACAGCAGAGCATTTCTACATGTTTTTTCTCTATTGAAGTGGATAATTTATGTTGGCCAAATCTACATTCAAATTTTATGAGCTTAATCCATTTAGATTGTACTGGTCAACTAGCATGGTAAATACCATAATTAATTATTTGAGGGCCACATTCATTGTGATAGAATTTTGTTCCAACACGTCTCCAATTTTCATCAAAGCCAAATTGTGTTCAATGGATGGTCATTCTAGTTGTACAAGCTAAATCAAATCTGAACAAATGAAGTGTTGTTAGATACAAAAGTGATCATCTCTACTTCATTAGCTGCCAGCTATTGCAAAGTTTGGCAATTCAATCGATTTTGGAACTTCTGTATTCTTAAATAATTTTGATTTCTAGTCAGAAAACAAGGTAGGACAATGCTGCCATTTGTTATATTTCAACTACTGTTTCTCTTTTTAAATTCACCTCTGTGTTCTCAAAAGCTCTTGGTTTATATGTGGTTTTGTATTTTCTCTAATTTTTTGGAAAGAGCTTTGAAATGGATCAAAAGTTTTAGACAAACATTTCCAAAAATGTGATATTTAGTTTTTGACAATGCGCATACTAGCCAAAACAAAGTTAAATGGTGCTGAATCAAGATTGACAGCAAATAATATCAAACATTAAAATTTCTATGAAAGGAATCCAAGTTTCGTTTCTAAGGCTGAACCATACCTCTTTTGATGTCCGGCATTGTTCATAGCTTTCAAGTTGCCTATGCACCTTTAATATCACATCCCTCATTGCCTGTAAGTACCAATCAAAGCTGCATTAATGCAATTCAAATTATACCTCCATATTTTGACTTGCTGCTGCCTTAGACTGTCTGTGGATAAAACTGATATTTGTGATCTGACTGTTAGTCATTTTTGCTATGATTTATTCTTAGGTTTCGCTCACATATCTGTTTTAAAAATGGGTTTAATGTTTGATTAAAGTTGGTCTAATTTGTAATTGTAATACAGCACGTGCATGTGTCATAACTAAAATGGTCTCGTTAGCTGATATCTGTCACATAATTCAGTCCCCCTTTGTTTATTGCTGAAATTATGAGCAGATAACGAGGCCTCTAAGGAACTCTTCCAGGAATAACAATTTGCATATGTGATTCAGGTGCTAAATCTAGGAGTCACAAGAGTTCTGTCAATGGTGTGCCGAAGTATTCGTCTTTTACATATACCATAGGTGAAAGGGAATGGCCTTAAGATTTTGCTTGTTTGGCTCATTATTACAAACTGTTGTGTGATATTTTTATTTGACTGATATGTGCATTAAAGGAATAAACTTTAAACATTAAGAAGTATACTGTTAATCTTTATTGCTTACGAAAGATCCTTAAAACAAAACACACACACATTCATCTTGAAACAAAAGTACGCACCATCGTATCGGGAGGACAGTGAGATTAGCTTTCAGTCTTTGGCGTCGGGAGCTCGCAGCCCAGGCCCCGGCAGGGTGGGCGGCAGTGGCAGTCTTAGTCCTTCCCCACGTCAGGGGGTTGGCGGCCGAGGCGAGGGAGCGATGCTCGCGGCTAGGGCCGCGCGGGCCTGGCCGGTGGTGCCAGCCCGTGATGAGCGCTGGCGACTCTGTTGCCGGCGCTCTCAATCTTCCAGCGCCGTCTCAGCTGGTCGCGGTCCCTGCCGTGCATCATGATGTCCTCCCGCAGGTCGCCCAGGCTGTTGGCGCGCGGCTGTGGTGCGGGCGGCGGCTGGGGCGCGCCGTGCGGCGTCTTCGGCGACCATCTGCGGCGGGGGGCAAAGGCCGTCATTAGGAGCGTCCGCCGGGGCCGCCGGGGAGGTAGGCAACCTCACCCCGCCGCGCATCCGTGCGTTGCATTGCCTACCTGCCGGGCGCTCCGGGCGCGGAGGTGGAAGAGGCGGACGACGGCGCCGCCAGATGTCCCTGGAGGTAGCGCTCCCGCAGCGCGCTCAGCAGCAGCGACTGGAGGAGGACGGCGTCGGCGTCGTGGTCACCGAGGCCGCGGCGGCGGCGTGCGCCGGGCGGGGCGCCGGGTCCCGGCCCGGGTCCGGAGCGCAGCACGTACACGGAGGCGGCGCCCGGACCGGCCGCGGCCCGGGGCACCCGGCGCAGGTTGATGGACCTGGCGGGCGTCATCTTGAGGGGCAGGGTGCGCTTGGCCACGTCCAGGAAGTTCCTCGACACGCCGTCGTCCACGCTGGGCAGCGGGATGGCCTCGCCCTGCACGGACAGCGTCTTGTCACGCGGTCACTGCTTGCGGCGCGTCGTAAAGCGGGGGGTCAAGACACACGGGGGGGACGACCCTTTCGACGGGGTGCTCGGCTCACCTGTTCCTGCAGGTTGGCGCGGTCTGCGACCAGCGCCAGGAGGGAGATCATGGACATGAACACGGCGATGATGGGCGTCATTCTGCGAGTTCGGGGCGACCAGATTGCAGCTCCAGGCCGCTCCAGGCCGCGCGAGTCCTGAACTAGGACTGATCGCCGCCGCAGGACCGGGCCGTCCTATAAATAGCCTATCGGGGGGCGGTAAGGGGGGGGGGTGCGTGCAGTGCGCTGCGGACTGGGCCCGGAGTGCGTTCCATACGTGCACACGGGACAGAGGGACACAGAGTGCGGGGTGCTGGAGAGACTGAGATGGCGGGGCAGGCCCGCTACCGCGGCCATGAGAAGTTGACAGTCGGTTTGACCAACATTCCGAGAGTTGTTCGGGTCGGGCAAAGCGGCCTTCGCCTCTTACTACCGTTAGGCTCAACCTTGGCTTGCGTTATGAAACGAAAAAGGCGCCTCTAAATATAGAGAGAATAAAAGGAAAAACCAGCGTCGCTCCCGCGGCCCCACGAAACGCAAATCAAGTGGAACTCATTCCGACTCACGCATATCAAGCACCGGGAAAAGGGAAAATATATGCCGAACAGAAAAATCCAAATCCGGGCATCGCTTTTCAAATAGTGTTTCCTATGTTTGAAAACCATGCAGCGATAAGGATAATTTTCAAAAGCGCGCATACGTCAGCACCGCGTCAGCCGGCAGCAGCGATGACGGCTTCCATTCGCAGGTTTACTTCGTGTGACGGCCGTTACGGACAGAAATAGGCTCTGGACCGGATGTTGTCGGCTGGACTCGCTGCGCTATGGTGTTTGTTGGGAGTCACATATTGGTTCCCGTAAGCAAACGCGTGTAAATTTTTAATTGCGAGCTTATTACAGTGCTCGATGACGAAATTTGTAAACATTTTAAGAAAAAGAAACATCAATTTCCGATTTTTCAATGATCCTGATGCTTCAATAATTGTGTGAAAATTCTCTCTATAACGACGAGTCTAGCCGAGCGGCCTGACTGTCCACGCGGCAGTGGAGTGTCCGTCCCGTCCATTTCGTCCCGTGTCTTTGCTCGCTAAAGGCCCCATTACGCGTTACTTCCGCCACGGCCAGCCATTACAATAAGCGTCTTTGGGTCAAACTACTTGAGTTGTCGGGGGCCGGGGCCGGGCTGTCCGGCTCGAGTGTTGGGGGAAGGGGGTGGGGTCATATATATTTGACCCAGGGAGTGAGTCTGTACGCGGTGGGCCGTGGCGTGGGGTGGGGGTGGGGGGGCTGCGTTGGGTCTCGCGATGCAGCGGGCGGCATGGCGGGGTGGATCTGGGTCACCGGGGTTGGGGTCGAGCGCAAGCGCGGCGCGGGTGAGGGCGGGCCCCATCCCCTCACCCTCCGGCCCGAGCTGCGCCTGGGGCCCTGGGCTGCGTGGATAACATCTTGGGCGGCTGAACGGCATGCGGGCGACGCAAGGGTCTGGCCCAGTGCTGGCCCCCTGGCCGCCCCTGGCTCGGCGGTCGGGTGGGGGTGGGTCACTTCTCACCGGCACCACGGCTCTAGGGGCCAAATGGGGCAGGCCCGGCCCTCCCTGCCATGACCACGCCACCGAGCTCCCGCCCCGGCCAAACTGACCCCACTCCAGGGCCCCGCACCGACCAAATGCCGCTCGTCAGCCACCCCTTCAAGGGGCGCGGAGCGGAGCGGAGTGGGGAGCGAGGGGATCTGGGGGACGATTAGAAGTCGCGAAGTGATTCAGTCCCACCGAGGGCGACATGTGGCCTTTTACTTCACTGCGGCCAAAGAAAGGGGAGGGAGAACACACCTGTATCGTACTTTGTTGACTAATAATTTGAACCGGAAATGAGCCCATGCCCCCAGATGGAGTTGCAGGGCTCAGGGCGACCACCACGACACCACGGGCATAGGATGAAACTTTTCGAATTATTTTATGGTGAGGTCAACTCGCACCCGACACGGACCTAGTAGAAAAGCAGTGCGATCTGCGCCCAGACCTCTGCGCTTTTGACCAGAACATTCGGTGAACCGGTGAACCTTACCTTACCGCCGCATTTTAGGATTGCGGAGAAGTGCGACGTGGGACTGGCGCGCCGGCAGGGCTCATTGAGGGTGGCCGAGAGGGAGGGGGGCAAGTCGGCAGTGGGCAGGGCGGGGGCCGCGTG